TACATTATGGAATGCAGGTAATTAATGCCCTTGCAACGACCAAAGGGGGAATTCAGACAGAATTCAGATGTGGTTTCTGAATCTGCACAAGCACCTGCAAATCCAGAATGGGACAGGGGAGTAAATAAATCCCTGATTGGCCTAACTGATTTTTCCATTCTTCTTGCATAAGAAGTCTGTGTGTACTTCTGTGCTATGCTTGGGGCATAATTTATGTATTGCAATAAATAACAAGTATATGTGTGCATAATTAGGAGGGACAATAAAGAAAAGCAGTTGATGAAATTGAATTATGCATAATAAAGCTGTAATTTTTCAGGGAAGGCTGTAGTCATCAGAAGAGAAAGTGAAGCTTGTTTGTTTTGTTACTGTTGTGAGAGACCTGAACTGGGGCTAGAGTCTTGTAAGACTTTGTATTTTTATGTCTCTTGGGGTTTGGGCAAGACCAGGTGAACAGACCAACATTTTGGAACCTGAGGTGTGGGATAAACTGCAATCTGCCCTTATGGGGACTGTTCAGGAGGCTTACAAGACAATGCTGTGTATTTATCTACTTTTCCACAGTAAAAATGTATAAATCATCATTATAGAGCCCTTCTTCAAAAGGGAAAGATTTGGCTCACTAGGTTTGAAGAGCCATTCTCATATTTGGATGCTTTTACACATCCATGACCACTCTGCATGTGCTTTATTCAGCTTCAGAACAAGTCCACCAACACTGCCAAACACACACATGAGATGAATGTAAAATACATTCCAAATAATTGCAGTATTTATGTAATTTGGTGTTTTGTGTGTTCCAGAAACCCTCAACAGCTGGTTAACCCCAGCAGGACCAGTGAGCTGAGAGGGGCACAGGGAGTGCCAGGGTCTGGCTGCCCAGCAGAGCCAGCCAGGTCCTGCTGCCAGGTAAGGGTGGATTAGCAGTGACTCCAACAGTGCAAATTAAAGGGAAATGGAAAGCAGATTTAGGCAATTCTTTCTCCTTTGTGAGTCATTTAAGTGTAGAATTCTGTGTCTATGCATGCAGGGCATTTTAATTGAGATTTTTTGAGTATGAAGAAGGTGGTTCCCTCTCAAGTTAAACAGCTCTGGCCCAAGGGGAAGGAGTAAGGCTCAAGCTGTCCATTGCTTGTGGCTATCCCAGTAAAATACTGATTTGCTCAGCACTCCTACTTTAAACAAGCAGAAGGGCAAACAAACGTAGTGAGAAGCCTGGTTTGGTGAAATCTATAGCAAGAGCTTTTCTCCTTTGCACATAAGTAATTGGAATTATTATGGACACAGCTTCTGGGAGAACAAAAGCATCAGCAGTGCTCTTTGGGAACCAGATTATTGTCCAGTTTGCACTGCAGTGTGTTCCCTTTACCTGGCACCTGGCTCAAGACTCCCGAAAATTGTGGGTTAAAGTGAATTGTCCTGTAAATATTCAGGGCCCATCTCCTGGAGCAGAGTTCTCTGACCCAGCAGCACCACTGCCCCTGCACCCTGCAGTCCTGTGCAGAAGCAGCAGAGCCAGCCTGACTTCTCAGGCCTTGGCATTAAGCAGCAAGGGCTGGTTTGTTGCCACAGAGAGCTCCCAACTTGGCCTGTGGCTACAGCCAGGGAGGAAATGAGGTGGGGGAGAAGATCTCCATGTCCAAGTGAACCCATAAACCTTGTCCCTTCCTCACATGCTGGTCAGCTGGATCTCGGCTTCCCCTGAGAGACTGTAAATATGTGGGGTTTGTTCATTAACCAGTGCAGCGCCGAGGTGGAGGCTGTGATGCACGTGATGGGAGCAGAGAAATCACACAGCTTTCGTGAAACAAAGGACATGGCTGGGCTCTGGCAAGAGCAGCATAACGGCTGTTTATTTTTTCCAGACAGGGACTGGAGCTCACTGGGGTTTTTTGGGCTCTTGCTCTGTTTTTGTTTTGCTGCAGCTTTTAAGGATGAGAATGTTGTGTCTGACGCGTGTCAGCGAGCAGAGATTCACGAGCAGAGCTGGGCTCGTCTTGCTCCCCGGTGAGGAATAAAAGCATTGCCCGTCTCTCACTTCGGGAGGAGGAGGAGGAGGGGCTGCGGGGAGTGAGAAGGCTTCGTCGGGCTGGGGTCGGGCTGGAGCACCGCGGCTCAGCCCGGAGGCATCGCTGGGGAAGCCGCAGACAGAAATGTGCGTGCAGGGGCTGCGGGGCGAGGGCTGCCGTGGCTCGTTTGGGTGCAGGGCTGCTCTCCACATTTGTGATCTTTGGGGAAAGCAGTCAGGAAAATTGATTGAATAAAGAGCCCTTTTTCAAGGAAGCAGAGAAAATGGCCACTTCTACAGCCCTGTGTTGGAACTCTAAATGATGCTGTTATTAGAGCTGTTAAAAACTTAAATTAATAAGAGTTGTATCCACATTTAAGCCCAGTCTGGTACCTGCAAATCTGATTTTGCACCAGGGAAGCTGCTGTCAGTGGAGCCACCAAACTGCAAGTGTGGTGCTGATGGGGAGTGAAGATTCTTTGTTCTGTTTATTTCTTCATGGTTTCATCTGTTTTTGTGCTTTGAAGTCTGCAGGGTTTTTTCCCAATATTTAGTGAATTTAAAGTTTATTTCACTTCTTTAGTGAGGCAGATAAAGCAGTGAAGGGGGAAATATGAGGAAAGGGGCTAAATTCAGAGTCACTTGGGCCACATACACAACCTGTAACCATAAGGTGTAAAGGTGTAATTTCCATTAATTAAAGCACATTATATTGACCCATCACTTCCAAATTTCAGCTAGATCTCATACCATAAGGTGTAAAGGTGTAATTTCCATTAATTAAAGCACATAATATTGACCCATCACTTCTAAATTTCAGCTGGATCTCATATGGAACTTCAGAGTGCAGCTCACCTAAAGCAGGACACATGAGGTTAACAGAATTGTTATGTTTTAAAATTATTTCTCAATACCATTAGTCTTTCCTATGTATGATTGAGGAACGATGTTTTGTTCACTTCCAACCCAATCAGTTTCACAGCACAACAGCATCAATTTCCAGTACAGTTACATTTATTCCAGTATGGTCCTGTGAAATGGTCTGACATGCTTTCAGCTAAATGACAATTTGATGGGATGTGAAAACCACAGGAGTCAGGAAGAAGGTAATAGTCTGTGAGCAGGCTTTATCTGTCTTGCTACAAGAGCTTGGCTTCAAGGGGAACAAAACACAACACTGAGGAACCTAAAGCAAGGAGGGGCTGGGCTGGGCTTCACAGGGAAGCAGAGGTTGCTGGTCTGGTTGCCAGTGACTGTTAGATCAACCTTTGTCACTTTGCTACCTTACACAGTGTGGAAGGAACCAAAAAGAATCCTTCACTAAAGGAGGAAAATTACGTGTGTGAATGGGGAGCCTTTTGTCTCTGATAACTACAACAATATAACCTACATCCTGTGGTTTGCAAGGAAACAATCTCAGAACTGAAGTTACCTCGGGCTGACAGAGCAGCCAACAGGATGAGCTGGAAACAGGAGTTTGTTGCTCGGGCTCAGGACTGCAGTGGGTGTCATTGGGATGTCACAGATGTCACTGCAGAGATGTCTCCTGCAGAGCACTCAGGTTTATTCTCCAAGCACCCTTTCAGGCACTGGATCACTTGTCTGTGCACAGGCTGTGGCTGCTTCTCACTTTGGTTCTTTCCAAATGTACAGCAGCTCTTCTATGGTGATTGCAACCTCAGCAGTGCTACTTAGAATCACCAGCAACTATGATCTAATAATAAATATGTTTATTCTCTGTAAAATGCATTTTAAATAAATACCAATCTTTTGACTCTGAGCTCCTGGTAAAGTATCTTATATTAATGAAATTATAAATAGCAAGTGCCAGTTCTGTGCCAGTTCTGACAGCACAGAAAAGAACACATTGTGAAGCCAAACACCAGGTTTTTGTGCCCCAATTTTGTTGCTTGTTGACTGCTTGTGAAAAAAGATAATTTTTATTTCATTGTTCTTCAACTTAAATACAGCTGCCATTGAAGCCTTCGCTGTTATTTCATCACACAGCCAGGAGAGCACCTGCAGGGACACATCCTTGGTGGCAGATGTGGGGTGACCTGTTTCCACCTCTGCCTCTGGTGCCTGGGTATCAGATCCAGTAACATTTCTGTGTGTGCAGTTCTGAAAGGCCATCACAGCTCTTCTGTAAACTCTTCTGTTACCGAAGTTTACCTGGAAACAACACCAAAGGCCAGATGGCTTCAGCTTTCTGAGAAATTTTTGTCAACCAAGGAGTTGCTCTGCAGCTCCCAGTGCTCACCAGAGCGTTTGCAAAAGACCAAGTGAAATTTTGGTTGGAGCATCAAAGACATCTAAATACACTTACATCTTGTTCTCATATTTTGGTTCTGCTCTGACTTCCACAGAAACACAGGTCTAACACTTTTGCACAGAATTAAAATTGCTTATGCTTTTGTTGCACTTTTGAAGTGATTTAATTTTGTTTTGAAGCATTTTCTGGTGTATGCAGAGTTTACTGGCACTCCTGACCTTGGAGATGTGTGATATTTTACAGTGTGCAGCGGCATTTCTGTACCCAACCTGGCTCCAATAAATAGGTTAATTTCCACTAATTAAAGGCCAGGTTTCCAACATAACAAGGTGATACAGTAATTCTGTAACGATCTATAGATTCACAACTGGGGCAGACGACTGGGCAGTCCTTTGTCAACTGCAAATCCACAACTTCTACAAAATTTTTTTCATGTAAAATGTTAGAAGTGTTGGAAAAAAACAGATGTATAATTTCACATAACACCAAAACCCTGAATACATGGGACAAATAACAACTGACAGATTTATGATAAATTACATGAAATTTTAGATTATATTCTTTGCACATCCCAACTTGGTCTCTATCAAAGTATCTCCTGAAGTAAAGGTACCTTAAATGATAGAATGTACAATATAAAACATTAATGTCAGGACAGAGTTAATTTCAAACATTGGAATAAGAGTCAGGAATGTCCAACTGTAGGTGCCGGACAAAGAATTTATTTTGGTTTTCAAAATTAAACCATGGCTCATCTGGATTTGGATTTCACTTCATACAAACATCCACTGAGTATTTGGTGCTTTGATTCTTTAATATAACTCTTTAAAAGCCAGTGGAATTCCCCTTTTATTTGGCCTAAATGAATGTAATTTAATTGCTACTAAAATGACATATCAATCATTATTATACCTGTTTGTATAAATCAGACAAGAATAAGATCTTGTGACCTTAAAATAAACTGAAGAACCACATACCACATGATTAAAATAAGCAAGAGATACAAACCTGGCAATGACAAGAAAGCACACTGGATTTAAATGTTGTTCTTACAATTATCTTGGTTGTCCAAAGAACAGTGTACACAGGTTATGGTTAGTAGCTAAACTACAATTTAAATTCAATTTCCAGAGTCTGATTCCAAGTTATTCTTTATTCTGGTTTTTAAGTAAAGTGTCTGAAGTTACTTCTGCTCTGCGTTCTCCTTCTTGGGCAATCTTTCCAAAGGATATGACTCATTTCTCCATTATTTGTAAAGAGTATGGAAAAAAGTAAAATATTATTATTTTGTGGGCATTTGGAAATGGATGTTAAAAAAAAAAAAAGGTGGGATGTTGATCATTGTGAATCATTTCTTGGGAAGAAGGGAAGAACAAACACTGGCTGCTGCCTTACTGCTGTGGAAGCCAAGGACTTGGTGCTGACTCAAGCAGTAGATATTGATGGCTGCAGGACACAAAGGAGATCTTGCAGCAGGGTTAAAGGGAAAACCTTTCCCCCCTAAGTGATAAGGAGTTAGAGGGAGCTGCCTGTGTTGATTTCCTGGAGGCTCTTTTTTGCTTAAACAACCTCCTGCTCTGAACACCTTGGCTGGTTTGAATTGTATCATGCAAGCAGTTGCTGCAGCTCAGTGAGTCTCCTCCTGGGTTTCCAGGAATGCTGGCAAACCTTCAGGTGACAATGAAGAGCAAGACTGAACTCAGGGCACTGAGGGAGCCACCCCAGTAACTCCCAGAGCAATCACTGCTGGCTCTGAGCATCTTTCCCTGCCTGCTGCAAAACTGAAGCAATAGAAATCCCTTGTAACCCATCTGCATACTGATCAACTCATGGAAAAGCTCTGTTTTGATACCAAAACTGATTTTCCAAAGTGACTCTGGGTCACTGTGGCCATTGTGTACTTTATTTCTTTACTAGGAACTACTCACTTCCTTTTGTGTGTAACTGCACAAAATATCTGCAAAGCACACCCAACACAAACCCAATTTTATGAGTATTTTATGAGTATAGGTTCTCATGGAGAAACAATTATAAAATATTGTACTGTCATTCCAATTTCCAATGAATATTTTTAAATTATAGACTTATTAGTGATAATAAAAATTTTTAAAAAATTTTAAAAGTTAAAAATTTTTATTCACTGTTATTTCTAAGTTACAAGCAGAAGCTCTGAAGCAGAGTTAGCAGCCTGGATGTCATAGATTCAATGAAGTAAAATGAAAATATTCACACTTGACCAAAATGATTGTGGATTTTTACATAATGACAGAAATTCTCAACAGTCCAATCCAGGATATTTCCTTAGGAATGCAGATGCATCTTTGTGCCTCTTTATTTCATAATGTCACTCAGAGGGCTCACATGGTCACTTCATGCTACAGACAGATCCTTTGCAGCTTTGGATTTGATAATCATGTTCAAGTGCCAGGGCTGGAACACCTGATCTCCAGCCAATAAATCCCTGGGTCGTTTTCGGTACTGGAGGAGATGGAAGCACCTAAAATCAAAGTAACATGCAAAGCTGAATGATGAAAAGGTTTTTGGTTGAAGTTTCTGTCACACAGATATTGTTTTTTGTGCTGTAGTGTTCTAAAACCAACAGTCATTGTTTAGTAGTGTATGTTGGAATTATTTTTTTTCCAAGTTGGGTTCAATACTAAGGGCTTTGATTGCTTAACATTATTAGAATTTTTATTATTATTATTACGTATGGAAAAAGCTCAAGCAGAAGATAATCATCATCATCTTTAAAACTAATTAACTTCTGTAAACAGGAGAAATAGTGTTTCCTCCTTGATGTAATATATTTGGTAACAATGCAGCTATGGAATAATAATTTTAAATCCAAATGCCAAAGATGTTACTGACCAAGATGGCTTTTATATCAAGAACTACTTATTCATTCTACCTTCCTTCTACTTTAAAAGATGGGTTACCAAGTTAATCTGCAACTAATGTAGCCAAAAAGGAAACAAAACAAAAGCCAACAGACTCTGTTCAGTGACTGCTGTGCTTACTTTGGCTGAATCATCTCAATTGGGCACGTTCTATCATTTCAGCATCTGGGGACTTAGCAGAGAAATACACAGCAAGAGAACAATGTTTCAGTTCTCTTGCCAGAGTTGCTTCACTTTGTTCTTTGGCCAAGATTAGAAAATGTTTATGATATTTAGGTGGAGCAGTTCCTCAGAAAAGATAATTTTTATGGCCAAAAGTGCCACCCACTGAGCAGGATAATGAAGGAAATCATGTCCCACTTTCGGTCTGGGGGAGGGGACTGTGCAGGAGCTTTTATTAGTCCAACCTAGAGAGAACAGATTTGACTGTTACCACAAGGTAAATGTGCAGAAAGGCAGCTCTGAAAAGGATGTATGAAACTTCACTCTGAATATGTAAAGGGTGACCTAAATCACAGCCAAGCCTTCTCTTCCTCCCTGCTCTGAGGTGAAATGGAAACTCTGTTCCAACGTGCACCAGGCGCTGATAACTGCAGGATTTGTTAATGCACCCTCACGGGGCTGGGACTCCACTGAAACTGCAGCTGGGCTGAGACTGGAGCCTTGGGACAAAACTGAAGAACAAGTAGCAGTGATGGCAGAAATGGTGCCATTTCATTGCTTTCCCACACTCAGCACTAGCTCTTAATTTTTATTTGAATTTAATCTCAGTAAAAGCTTTTACTACTTCCATACCTTATCTCCCCACCCTTGGAATCCTTTGAAAGAAAGCTAGTTCAGCAAGTAAGAACTTCCAATCTCCTTTATTTCCCTAATCTTCTCTAAGTGGACTAACCTTCCTTTTCATTAGCATATTCTGCTTCCCCTTTTGTAAGTTCCTCTCCCAATGTCACTGCTTTAGCTGCCTGTGGACTCACCCTGTTCATTGGTGATCCTGGCACACTGTATTTATAAATTAAACCACCAGGTCACATTCTACTCTCCAGCTGTTTGACAGCTTTAAGACTCTGAATATACATATAAATCACAGAAAACAAAATAATTATGACTTGGCTTATTAGAACTGGCTTCTTATTAATTTGTGGTACAGAAGAGGACAGTGGTATTGCCTCTGACAAAAAGCAGACTCTTAAATAAAGGTAGAAAAATTGCAACCATACCCAAAGGGCAATTCCTTGTCTTAAACAAATGCTTTTAAAGCATAGTCTGGCTTGCAAATGCAGTTTACTTTGACCTTTAGTTAAAGACCCCCCTCTATAAGAACACTGGTTTTCAGAGCTTGTGTGGTTTCTTAAAACAGATGTTGCTGTATTGCAATTTTAAAATCTAATTTTCTAACCTTAATGTATTTTTCCACAGGTGTCACAGGTCGAACCTGCAGGTGATCTGGAAGCTGTAGCTTGGGCTTTGCAGCTTCTTTCTTTTCATCTCCAAGCAGCTAAAAACAAAACATATTTAAAAACTGCAGCCTTTATTTTTGGAAATACACTATAATATGTGAAATCCACACCATTCCCCTCATTGTTGCATATGAAATTCCTGTTCTTTCCAGCTCAAGCAGGATTACTTATTTCAGTGCTTTGGAAATTACTGGACTTTTTTTTGTTTCAGAACACACACAAACTACATTTATAAATATGTAAGGGCTGCATCAATCCTGTTCTTTAGCAATGAAATGCTGTGATTCCAAATGTAACATCATGTGCTACTGTATTCTAGTATCTAAACATCACTGAGAAGAGACATCACTCCAAATATTTTCATTTGTTGTAGATTCCCCCACTGACAATTTAATTAGCTGGAACCTTTTCCCCTAGATTTTTAAAATACCATATGGAGAGACAAAGGGGAAATATTTTCCTGTCAGTGTGCATCTAGTACTTGTTAGCACTATTAGGAGTCATGCTTCTCAAGAGAAATATATCAGAATATGCACAGCATATAAATTACCACTTGATGTATTTTATTCAAAAGAAAAACTGAATATTTGAACCATTTCAAAAGTAGTGCAGTTGCTACCTTGGATGCCAGCATAGTAAAGCATACCCAGTACACTTCTTCTGTGCTCTCACGATTTTGTGTCCAGATAAATTTGTGCCCAAGTAGATTTCATGTGTTGCTTATCTTATAAGCCATATTACATGCCATTCAATTTTACCTCTTCAAGAGGCGTTTTCAAAAATCCCCATTTCTCAGCCCATCTTTTTGCAGCATCTCTTTCGTTTTCAATACGATTTTTCCTGCAACCAACACAAAATATTTAAGATTACTTTGGAAACTTGAATAAAAAAAATCCACAACACACCAAGCCAACTACTGATGTCACAAAGCACAGCACTTTAGCTGGAATCTTTAAACTTCCATCTCAAAGCAGCGCGTTCATATACAAATTATCATTGTCTTGACTCAGAGCTAATGGGAAAATACCTTCAGAGGTTGGAAACACTGCATGTGAAGCAGTGAACACCGCACGTGAACACTGCACTGCCTTTAAATTATGTTAAGAAGCAGAGGAGGTTGAAAAATAAGCGCCAATGATGCTTTCAATATACTTTCTCATTTACTGCATTGACTGACGAGATGCCCCGACCCCACAGCCGGCGGGGCAGGAGGGCTGCACTGGAGCCAGCCCTAAATCCCTTTTTGATTTTGACTTTGACTCCAAGGCACGCTTCACCCAGCGCACAGCTCTTTAAACACACGAGAACTCTCCCAGCGCGGAGCTGCGGGCCGGGAGGGCAAGGTGGACGGCAGCAGCAGCAGAGCAGCGGTACTGCCGGGGCCGGGCGGGCTGTTACCAGTTGTTGTCCTTCGCTATGAAGTTGGTGGGCTCCATCGGGGCCGCGCCGCCTCAGCCCCGCCTCAGGGACCCGCGATCCGCCGCGGCCCCTCGGGCGTTGCGGGGCAACGGCGGCGGCAGGGGCGGGAACTCGTGTGGGCGGGCACAAGATGGCGGGAGGGGCGGGAACGTCTTCAATGGAATGTTGGGAAGTGCCCTCACACTCCCCGAGGGGAAGGATCCCCTTCTCTCGTCCTTTGGGAGCTCTCCGGTGGCACCACAGCCATGTCTCAGGGGGAAAAAGCAAAATGATTCCCGCTCGCTGCTTTGTCGAGGCCCCTCAGGCGGGCACAAGATGGCGGCGGGGGGAGCCCCGGTGGGCGGGCACAAGGCGGACGGAAAGGGCGGGAACTCGTGTGGGCGGCACAAGATGGCGGAGGGGCGGGCCCCAGGTAATGAGGGGGCGTGCATATAATAAATTAATGTCGGGATGTGCTTATGTAGTGTTAGAGGGGCAGGATTGCCTTCTCTTGTCTTTTGGAAGCTCTTAGGTGGCACCACAGCCATTTCTCAGGGGAAAAACAAGCAAAAAATTCCCACTCCCAGCTTTCTTGAGGCCCCTCAGGAGGCTGGGAGCAGTGCTCGGTAATTTTTTTTTTGTATGCCTTTAAATGAAGGAAAACACATTTGGGTTAAGGTTGTGGAAAGCTTCTTTTTAACATGCTGTTCTGGGTCCTCTTGCTACACATCAAAATTGTTTTTTGGTAATTTCATGGGGAAACACCAGTCCTGTGATACAGTGTCTGTCTGGTCTCTTTTTCTGCTAAATGTCCTTTACAAGCTACATGCCTATGACAGAAATTCTGAGAAAGATCTCAGCATACTTTATGGTTTCTGTGTGAGAACCCAGAATATATACACAGCTTACAAATAGTTAATTGTGTCCCAATATATTAATTTTTTTGGTAATTTTATTTTCTTGCATTTGCTGGATAAAGTATTTCAACAATGAGTGGAGCCAGCTGGCTCTTTGCCCTCATGGGTTTAAATGGTTCCTCGACCTCTTGTTGTCTGGAAATTGACTTGTGTAAACACCCTGAAAATAGGTAATGGGACTTTCACACTACTGGGCACTTATTATCCTTATTAGAAAATAAATGCAGACTGGTTTTGACTTCAGCTGAGTGGTTTAGAGGCAGTGTGTTTGAATGTTTAATTATTAGACTTCTTAAAAAAAATCTGAAGTACCTAAAGCATTTAAACATTTGAGTGCAAGAAGACTATATGCATTTCTTAGTTATTTTAGAAGTACTAAGAATGTCTGTTTGTATAAGACAAGAATAAAAATGCCTTCTGTAGTTCTAAAATAGCAATTAATACTGCTCTTCTGGGTCTCTGAAAATCATTAAAGTATCAACAAATGGAATATTTCACTTGCACGCCATTTCTTGATTCTCTAATTGATAATTAGGCTCGCAATTAAATCAGCTGGGTCTCCTATCACACCCATAAATGCTTACTCATTGTCCTACTTAATTAACTCCTGCTGCTTTGTCACATTTATCTCAGGAGTTTTCTTATTGCTTTGATGCTTTCCTCGAAAAAAGATAATTTGTTAACGAAACAATCAAATCTGTAGCTTACTGCGTCAGGGCTTAAAGTGCATTTGTCAAGAAGAAAGTGAAATAAATGGGCAGGAGATCCTTCTCCTTTTTAATGTCTTTATTAAAGAGATTCAGCTCAGGTGGGGAGAAATCGGCGGGTCGCGCTCACGCCGCCGCTGGCCCCAAGAGTGGCACGGAGGAGGAGGAGGGGGATGCAGCTCTGTCCGCTGGTCTGCAGGCAGAGCTGGGGACTGCGTCCTCACGGGAGAGTCGCAGATTCCTAATTTTGGGTCCAACATTTCGGGTGCCCTCCTTAGTGAACATCCTTTGAGGTCAGGGTGAGGAGCAAAAAGGATCCAAGCAGGCACTGGACTCTGTGCCCATCCTTAGACATCACCTAGGGTCCCCTAATTCTATATTGGCTCGTTGTTTTTAGGGGTTTTCCTAGAAAACGGGAAAATTTTGGAGCGGTGCATTCCTCATCTGCATACGTGGTCTCAGGCCACTCCTGTTCTCCTGGGCTGCGTGTCCAGGTGTAGCTCCAGGGAGGACAATGGCTAAATCACCAGCCATTGACGGGCAATTAAAGAAGAACTCTTAACAATGAAGCTAATTTAACAGCCACCTGTCCAACCGGTTTTAGCTCTGTAACCTTAAACAAAAATAGATAACTGTTTATTCATAACAGAAAGGAGAGGTGAAACCTCTTAGGGTGGCACTGTGGAAATAGAACTTTGTCGCGCTCAAGTTCAGCGTGTGAGCAGCAGGTCCCAAGCACTGCCGCGGTGCCTTGGCTCTGGCTGGGTGGCTGGCAGCTCTGTGGGGCAGCTGGCACTGCTCTGCCTGGGCTCTTGGGCTGGAAAAGGCAGCAAGAGCCCTCCACTGATGGCACATCACAGCCCGGAGGGAGGGGAATGAAGATGTCCCTGAGGAAAGCCCCCGTGGGGTGCACCAGGCCGTGCTCTCTGTGTTTCTCAAGTGCACCTCTCACCCAGAAGTGCCATCTTCATGTCTAAAATTCGAAGAGCAGCTTTGTTATTTTCTTTCAGCTGCACTGATCTGGTGTCTTCGCTCCACATCAGAACCTCTGCAAGTGATGCTCTCTGCTGAGGTGTTTGTAGATCCATTTGTAGATCCATTTATAGATCCATTTATAGATCCATGTGTATCTGTGCTTAGGCTTTTGCGTTAAAAATGTCTGCCAAAAATATTAGTTAGTACTGGCAGTTTTGTGTTTGCTGCTCCACGGTTTGCAATGTCAGGTGTGGAAGTCTAAAAGGGGAATATTTGAGCATAATTTCGGTGTCTTTTTGTAATGTTTTTACATAATATTTCAGATGTAGGCAGCCCGAGACTGCCGTGTTATGATTACTGTGATTTAAGTAATGCAGTCCCATTGACACAGACTGGTTTCATTTAAAAAAGCCCTGCTAAAGTCTATCACATCAAGAACATGTTAATTGGAGTTCCTGATTTCCATTTATGAACGTAATCCAACAGCCTGGTTAGAATCATTTTATGTTGTGGCAAAATTTAGAACTCTCATCTTATTGTGGCTATAATTATCAAGTGGCTTTTGAAACAGTGAGGGCATGTTTGTTTTCCCAATGATATGTTCCTTTTTTTTAATCCATAAAATGGCACTTACAGCTACAGCTTTATGCAGATTTCTGTGCTTGAAAAATTCAGTAATTCCTGGGATTTTATTTGGTTTTGAGCAGATTAATTTCTTTTTATTCAGACTAAAGATTTACATGAGAGACTGCTTTACAGTAAACCTGATGGATACACTTATACTTCTGTTGTACTGGGTGGAAGAAGTACACATGCCCTCCAAACAAAATTATTTGTTCTATGGACATGGAGACCTTTGTCACTTTCAAACGGGAGGAGGTGTTTGCATTAAAATCCCCGTGTCCCAGCATTGTCTCAGCACAGCTCCCCAGGTGTGGTTGCAGAGATCTTGCAGAATGCTGCCCTGGTGCAGTTTCAAAGATACAGCCACCACTTGTAGCCACTGCAGGAATTTCTTGTAAATGCCAATGTGCAACACTTAACAAAACTCTCCTGCTGGTATGAGAACTACCTAGGCACCATATGAATTAAAGATGAATGAGAAAGACACAATTTTAAATTTTGTTGCATTGTATAAACTGAAATCAAACTCTTTGTGGTCTTTGAAAGTATTTTTTTGTTTCAGTACAGCTCATGTTTGAAATCAGAAAGCGTCTCCTTTTTTCCTTTTGCCTGAAAGGCAGGGGGTCTGGGACATTTTAACAGCTTTCATGGCCTACTCTGCAAATATATTATTGCTGCACAATAGTTTCTTTGCATGAGAATTGCTTAAATGATTCAAAAAGGATTGGAAAATATATTTCAAGTTTTAATTTTATGCACAGAACGTTAATGAGCAGTGCCCCTTAGAGACTTGCTGTCAGTTTAACATATTCACAATAATCTCAACACAGATGTTATTCCATCGAAATCCTTTTAGAGGGAAGAAACCAGTAATTTTTCCTTAGAGAATGTCAGAAAACATGTTATTGTTGGAGATTACATTTTGATCCCAGAATGCTATGTAAAAAATCATTGCTAGGAAGAATAAGTAGCGCATTGTTTCTGAGGCAAAATGCATGTGAAACTTTCTTGAGCCTCCTGTAAATTTTAAAACAAGTGAATGTTCTGTTAGTCTCATGCAATTTTGCTTCCCTTGAGGGTGATTGCAGGCAGTGATGGGATATCAGCATCTAATTTTATTCTAATTTAAGAGTGGATTTGTTATAAGTTCAAATTTCTCTATTTGTAGCCATCACATGATGAAGTTATTGTCTCTTTTGGATACATTTTCCTCTGCATTCTCTGAGCATATAAATTAAAATACTTGCTAGAAAGAAAGTACATACTTGGAATAACAGGTTTTTTTGTTGGAAAACGGTTTCAGTACCCTTTCTGTTTTGTGTTCTGTGATATGCCTGTGTTTTCTTTCTTCTCTCTGGTGCACTCATGTTGTACTCTGCTTGCTTGGTCTTGCCTGAGAACAGCTCTGAAATAATGCTGGTACTACAAAAATGAGAAGATTGTAAATATTATGTTGCTCAATATTGGAGCAAAACATTTCTGTTCCACTGAATCTGAACTGAATCTGATCTCCAGTGGAGAAGCTGTAGCCAGTTCCCTGGAGAGACCCCAGCCAGATGGGAGTGGTGCGTAGGTAATGTGAAAGGGGACATTTGGGAAAGTGTTGGATGACTCAAAGCAATGGTTCTGCAATGTTCCCAGGTTCTAAGAACACTTCTAGGACTGCATAAGTAAAAGAAGCATCGTTGGGAGTGGAGTACAGAGTGCACCATCAGCTCTGTGCAGAGAGAGCTGGTTGGAGTAAGTCCCATCAGGTTTTGCAGAACTTGTTTGGAAGGAGGAGGAGGGTGAAACATGAGGGTGCAGTCCACCCGTGACCAAAACCAGGAGAATTTCCAGTCAAAGAAATGTTTGTTTCCAGTTCCAGTCAAATGTTTCAACCTCTTCTTGGGAAAGAAGCAGCTCCTACAGCCCTTAGTGGGTACTTGACAGAAGGAAAGGTTGCAGTTGCATAACACAAAGTGGGATCTCACTTTCCAGTCTGTTTTATGAGCCCTGCTGCACAGAATGGCAGGGATGATGACCTGGTAAAATTTCAGGGTGCTGCACTGGAATATCCTTTATGAAAATGTATTTATTTTG